TTTCGTGAACTTTCCTCGGTTCCTGGGTCAGGGGCGTTTATAAGTGAGCAGGTTCTGATTCGACGTCGTGCTCTTCACGCGTTGGTTAATCTTTGTGTTGCCCCGAACAGCCTCGACGAGACCCCGCTCATCATCGCTCATTATAACATGCACAACTTTGGGTTTACTGGAACTCAGACGCAGAGGCTTCTTGGACATTCAGGGCGAACTTTTGAAGACCATTCAGGATGCAGAGCATTGCCTCGTCGTCTTGGCGGGCGATTTCAACGTTCCGAGCGGGCCCCCGCAGCCGAGCGTCCACGCCGCGAATTGCGAGACCGACGCTGCTCTGGCTGAGTGGAGGCGACTGCAGCGGTCGCCGTGGGACCTAGTATCTAAGCTGGTAGTGGAATTAGACCCAGGCGAGCGCGCGCACTACAACGGCACCAGGCAGCGCGCGTCGGCAATATATAGACTAGTCATCTCCTGACCTGGCTGGGTCCTCACGACTATCCGCGCTGTTTCTGTTCCGCGCAAGTGTGCGTGATTTTCAATGCGTCGATGCGCTGGCGGCCAAAAACATCGACAAACTTGATGCACGTTGCAAGGGGCGCGAAGAACAAGATACCGAGACATCGCCTAAGAAGGAGCCCGATTTCTTTGACAGGGAGGCCGCTTGTGAATCAAATTCTGGGAATGGATCGTTTGCTGAAGCCGCAGTTTACGATGTTGCAGACAAGACGTGGCAGTTCAGACAACCATTTTGGAGGATATTTACGTTTCCCGCACTTCCCAAACTCAATCATGCATTTCAGACAAGGATGCGGCAGAGCAGATATAAACAGTTTGAGGGAAATTGCGCTTCACGTGCATCCCACGCTCATGTGCTCCCCACGCCCCGGCGCTCGCGGCGGAATGGTCGAGCAACGCAAACGGACATGATATGATACTTGCAACATGGGAGTTTAAGTTTGCGCTGGAATGGCTTCGGTTACCTTTGCAGACGCCGTCCGGGAGTGCAGCGAGTGAGGGGTCTGACATGCAGGCAAACACTTCGGAGGTTGCGCCGCCAGCTCTAAGCGCCAATCTGGTTGATTGCACCCCGGACCGGAATGAAGGGCACGAGGGGTCGTTGATCATGCTGAGCTTGAAAGGCCATATCTCAAAGAGTCGCCGTGTGCAAAGTCCACAGGGCGGCACTGTGAGGTTGAAAGGTTTTGGTGGGCAGCATTTCGAGACAAAATCTTCTATTCTTTCAGTCCAGAACTTCTGCCGTAACAGGGTGGTCGTCGAAGACGCCGCTGACGCACCCGTGCTTTTTAAGTCAAACGCTCGTGTGTTTGGTATGTTGGATTGATCCAAGCATGCAGTTTCGCACCACTGCGTGATTCCTCCCTCGCCCCCCCCCTCTGGCCCCCCTCCCTTCTCCCCGCCCCCAGCGCATGCATGTGGCAAGCATTTTGGTCATGTTGCGAATTCTGTGCGTGCGCCGGGCCGGCCTCCATGGAGTGTAGGTCTGCGACGCTTTCGCACTTCCTGCCAATCTGTTTTCGTGGAATCCGTGAGCCAATCGTGCTCCTGTCGATTCCTTGCCGATGCGCCGTTGCCTGGGCGCCTGGCTTGACTGTCTCTTTTATCAACCCGGAGGCCTTTTTCCGGCTGCTGGGTGAGCTCCAGCTTGAAGGCGCCGAGGCGGCGCTTTGCTCGCTTCGCGACGAATTGTATGCAGCAGGGCGAGCGGGTGCTCCACGGGCAGCGCGCGCCAAGCTCCGCAAGATAATGAGAAGACTCTCGCAGCGTGCGAGAGTGTGGGTGCCATTCCACCGCGAGATGCCGCTCGCTGGGGTAAGGGCGGGTAATGGATCCATCATCTCTTCCCGATCCGAGATGCGTGGTGCGATTGCTGGGCATGGGGGGCTGATTTTTCAGGGAAAATCCATGGGCGCCGCAGCTGCAGGAGTATGCCCGAGACGTTACTGCCCCATGTTGAACGCCGACGACGTGCAATCACCTACTCGGAAAAAATATTGAATCACCCTTCGACACCTCGGGCACTCTGGTCCTGGCCCAGACGGGCCACCATTTGCTGCTAATCCGGCGTCGTCATCATTGCTGGCTTCAAGTCTACATGATGCTATGTCGTGGCAATTCAACGGCGACAACATGGGCTGTCAGTGCAACGCCATGTTAGGCATCTTTATCCCCGAGGGCTCCGATGCAGAGGGCCCCCCGCACGGGTGCGCCGGAGCTGCAGGCAGCCTCCGCCCCTTAGGTTTCAAAACCACGGACAATAAAATCGTCGCCAGCGTGATCGTCCAAAAACTATTCAAGGAGCTACCCAATATTACTCTTGATATCCAGAGATGCTTCGTGCCGACCCGCAACTTCGCCGACGACGTCGTCGAGGTGGATGTTCACGCTCGGATCTTTTCGACGCAGCAGGAGACCTCCGCAGCCGTGCCTTCTCTGGCCAGCTATGATTTCCAACGGGCCTTCCCGAGTCTGGCCCATGAACGGCTTTTCTTGGGCCCCAAGCATGCTGGTCTACTTCTGGCCTTGATGGCGTCGCCGCCCTCTACCGCGGCGTCCTGTGTTTCAGCGCCGGCTTTCATGTGTCTGCGATGCTTTTCTTCGTCTGCAGTAGAATTGCTCAAGGCTGCCCTGCCTCTGGATTTCTATTCGCTGTTTCGGCTGTCGGGTTTAGGAGAGACCTTGCCGACGCCGTTGATCGGCGATCCCTGGGAATCGTCAGGGCATGTGCAGATGATGTGGTGGCAGCATGGGCGAACATCGCGTCTCTTCGGCGCGTGGTGCGAATGTTCAGGGCTGCAGAAAGGGTCGCCGCTCTCGTGCTCAAGGCGGCTAAATTCGACATGGTTCCCTGGGCGGGTAAGTGCTCGACACAGATGGTATAAGCTTTATCGATCATGGCTGCGTTCGCGCTCCTCCGAGTGGGAGGACTTCGCCATCGCCCCGTCGCGTCTCTACATGGGCATGTAGACTGGCCTGCAGGTGGGGCTCGACAGCTGGGCCGCGCCGCTTGCGAAGTGGCGGCGCCGCGGCATGCAGATCGCGCTGTCGGCGTCCCCGCGCAGAGTCATGGCGTTCACCTACTCTGGTCGTGCTGTATCTGTTCTGAGCTACGTGGCGCAGTTCCAGCCTCTCCCCGAGGCTGCGCTTTTGCGGGAAGCCGCCCTCCTTGCCCGGCTCTGGCGCACGGCCTACTGTTCGGTCCCAAGAGGCGGATGTTTTAATATCTGGCGATGGAATGGGCCTCGCTTCCCCGGCCTTCTCGTGTCCACCACATTTGTTGTTGTCTGCTCTAGCATCTCCGCCATCCTCTCGCGGCTCCATCTTGTGCCTATGTTGCGTGCCGCCGCCGACGATTCCATCCCTTTCTGTCGAGTGATCCGCGGCAAGCTGTCCCCACCCCTCAGGTGCCAGCCCGCGTTTGTCGAATTTCTGGAGACTGCCGCCCGCCAATTCCCGTGACCCCTGGGGGCCGATCTTGTCACCTCCTCCTCGGCCTCGTGTGACCTTCTCGCTCGTTCGCTCTGAAAACGATGTTCTCGAATGGCCATGGCCTGAGGTGCAGAAGGTACTCCAGCGTGCCAAGCCTGCCGTCGCCTCTGCAGTTCTCAAGCTCTTGATCCGCGCTTGGACCGCGGACGAAAAGTTCAACGTGATTGCACGTGTCTTCTTGGGTGCATCCCAAACGGGCTGGACTCGAATCCCGATTCGCTGGGCCAGTACTGGTCCTGTCTTCGATGTCTGCTCCGTACTCCGCGTCCCCTCTCTTCCTGGCTGTCCCATTGTCCGTCTCGGTCTCGTGTCCCCCACCATCCGCGCCATCTTGGTTCCAGCTGCTGCAACGCTGCTGTATAATTCTCTGAATTCCATGAGAGGCGCCTCCTCCCTCGAACTCAGCGAGCGCCAAGCTCGCGCGCTGGCCGCTACGGTGCGATGCCAGCTCGGGCGCTGATCGTGGAGACCTTCGGCTCGCAGGCACGTGCGAGGAGGAGGAGGAGGCGGATGAGGAGGGGGAGGAGGAGCAGGAGGAGGAGGATAAGTAGGAACAAGAGGAGGAGGAGGAGGAGGAGGAGGAGGAGGAGGAGGAGGAGGGAGGAGGAGGAGGAGGAGGAGGAGGAGGAGGAGGGAGGAGGAGGAGGAGGAGGAGGAGGAGGAGGAGGAGGAGGAGGAGGAGGAGGAGGAGGAGGAGGAGGAGGAGGAGGAGGAGGAGGAGGAGGAGGAGGAGGAGGAGGAGGAGGAGGAGGAGGAGTAGTAGTAGTAGTAGTAGTGTGTGGTGGTGGTGGTGGTGGTGGTGGTGGTGGTAGTAGTAGTAGTAGTAGTAGTAAGTGTAGGTGTGGTGGTGTGGTGGTGGTGGTGGTGGTAGTGGTAGTGGTAGTGGTAGTGGTAGTAGTAGTAGTAGTAGTAGTAGTAGTAGTAGAGTAGTAGTAGTAGTAGTAGTAGTAGTAGTAGTAGTAGTAGTAGTAGTAGTAGTAGTAGTAGTAGTAGTAGTAGTAGTAGTAGTAGTAGTAGTAGTAGTAGTAGTAGTAGTAGTAGTAGTAGTAGTAGTAGTAGTAGTAGTAGTAGTAGTAGTAGTAGTAGTAGTAGTAGTAGTAGTAGTAGTAGTAGTAGTAGTAGTAGTAGTAGTAGTAGTAGTAGTAGTAGTAGTAGTAGTAGTAGTAGAGGTAGGAGGAGGAGGAGGAGGAGGGGAGGAGGAGGAGGAGGAGGAAGGAGCAGGAGAAGGAGGAGGAGGAGGAGGAGGGGGGAGGAGGAGGGAGGAGGAGGAGGAGGAGGAGGAGGAGGTGGAGCGGGAGGAGGGAGGGAGGAGGGGGAAGGAGGAGGAGGAGGAGGGGAGGAGGGAGGAGGAGGAGGAGGAGGAGGAGGAGGAGGAGGAGGAGGAGGAGGAGGAGGAGGAGGAGGAGGAGGAGTAAGAGGAGGAGGGAGGAGGAGGAGGGAGATGAGGAGGAGTGGGAGTAGTCGGGGGAGGGGGGGGGATCCTCCCCGCCCGGGCCCAGGCGATGACGGCCCGCTGGACCCGCCGCCCTCCGGGCGCGGGCGGCGGGACTCGGCGGTGGCCGCGGCGGCGCTCTGCGCGGGCTCGCCGCTGCTCGGGGGGCGCCGCGGCTTCTGGCCGCCCAGCCGGGAGGCCCGCAGCGTCTTGTCGGGGCAACCTTGCGGGGGCAGCGTTCTGGTCCGAGTAGATGGGGTTGGAGGGTCGCGCCCTATCCCCGGCGTTGCCGACGTCGCTGATGCATCGCTAGTGCGTCGGCGATGTGTAGCCGATGCAGCAGCAGTGCGGCGCGTTGTTCCGACCCCGTCAGCTCGGGCCCCGTCAGGGAGGCCTCTACGTTGGTGGGGGTAGGCTCAGGGGCATCGTTAGGGGGGATAGGCTCAGGAGGGGGGGTGGAGGGAAGGGAGGGGATGGAGGGAGGGATGGATGGAGGGAAGGAGGGGGGATGGGCATTGTTTTCGGACGTCTTGTTTTGTTTTCGGCGGCTCTCCAGCCAGGGGGTTCTCTCCAGCAGTTGCTCTTCGTCGAGAGCCGAGCTACGGCTCGCAAGCTAGACGACGAGAATCATTGGGAGGGATAAACTCAAGGGTGGATGCTTCGACCCCGGATCGCCCATCCGACTGCCGAAAAGGGTCTGGGCCCCCCACCCCGCCCAGGAGCGTGCAGATTGTCAATCTGGGGCCTGCCGCCGATCTATCGGCGATGTATCACCGATTCGAGGTCGATGTTTTCCTCCTGGCGTGGTCCCCTCCCCCCTATCGTTGCCCCTGGCTTAGAGGGGTGTGAGGACTGGGGCTGTCTGGATGGCGCCATTCCCGTTTTTGGCCCCGCTGGGGTGTGCGGTCGGGGACTTGTATGCCAAGTGTGTCGCGCCGCCAGTTTTGGCCCACCCCGTCTCGGCGCGACACTATAGCCCCGACTGTTCCCGACTAGCCCCGACACCCAGATCCTGAGCGTCCACGTCCAGAGCTGCCCCCAACCTTATTTACGCCGCGCGGAGCGGAGCGACATGCTATCCGCTTGCAGGGCATAGCGCGTCGCCAGGGCCGCCGCCGCGGCATGCCAAGCATATGCTCCTGACCGTAGGCCCAGGTTGGGTTTCTCGTAGCCTCTCGCCTCCCTCCTTCCTTGCCTCCTTCCAGGCGGGGTCATCCGTCGCGTCTGCACGTGGTCGCGCCGCACGCTAAAACTAATTCAGTAAGTCCAGAAGCCATAGCCAGATCCACGAAATCTCCAGGATTTCATGGCCCCGTCATCCTGCCTCGATTGCGTTCCCTGGCCCGCCCTCGTCCGCGCTCCTGCCTCGGGAAACAATGCGGTGCGCATCATAGCGCGGACGAGGCCTCTGGAGGCCGAGAGGAAAGAATCATGCCAGGAGTGAACACACAACATGTCAGAGATCTGTTGACAAAAGTCGGCGATTGCAAAGGGTAAGCTTACGCCGGGGTGTGGTTTGCGATCGGCGCTGTTGGGGCCTGGAGGGCACGAAGCTGTCCTCGTCTGGCCTCCTCGGGGCGCGGCGGAGAATTGTATCCAGGTCCCCTCCCGCCCCCATGGCTGTCCCCCAGGGTGCCAGTTTCAAACCGCACCCTTCGCAAACCACACCTTTCGGAGTCGCCGACGGGGGGCCCCTCTCGGCGAGGAGTGGTCTGCGCTGCTGTCGAAGCTGACGGCGGGCATGGACGCCGCGGTGAGCCGCCTCCACGGGCCCGGGCTGGTGCGCGGCGACGTGATGGCAAGCGTGTACCCGCCTGGCAGGTTACCTCCGTGGAACATATCCATATCCCTAAGATTGGTGTCTCCTGATCTCGGTTTCTGAGAGCGCATGCCTAAGATTGTGACCGCCTTTGGGCTCGTCAATCTTAGGGATCGGGATAACTTCGAAGCTGGTTGGCAGGGGGGCTGGCTTCCGCCGGCACGTGGACAACCCCGAGGCTCGAGGGAAGGAAAACGATGACCATGACCAAGGTATCGAGGGATGTTTTCGACGCCGATCTTACTAAGATGATCCGCATATCGACAATGACCAAGATGCACGCTGATCAAGATCGAGAGCCCGTATCTCCGTGGATTTGTTTTGTGTTTCGTTGTTGTTTACAATCCGGGCGTTGTTTTTTTTTGTTTTCGGCCTCCAGGGCCCGTTTTTTTTTGCCCGGGGGGCGCCCCAAACCGGGTCAGGGGCGACGCTACCCATGGGGAAGCGGTCGGGACTTCTGGGGCCACGGATTGGAAAAATCACACCAGCGAGTGTCAGGGCCAGGAGGGTGGCCCTGAAGCGCTCGGGTCCTGATGCACAGCTCCTGAGGGGCGGTTCCTGAGGCTTCTTACCGCTTGCAGCCTCTCGGGGCCCTTCCTGGGCCTCGGAGCGGGTCAAGGCGCAGGAGGCCTGGCCCCAGGGGCACGCCCCTGGGGTCCAGGACCCGCTTCACTCATGCCGAGGAGGAGCGTCAGGCAAGCAACCACAGCAAGTGCTGAAGAGCGGGCGTCAGGTCTCGGGTGGTGCCGGAGGTTGCTCCTGGCCCGGCTGCGGCTGAGATGCCCTGCATACGGCCTCTAGAGCACCCCCTCGCTGGAGGGCCCTAGGGGTTCCAGACTGGCACGAAGAGCTCGGGGCACCTTGGGCCTATGAGGCCAGGACCACTTCAGCAATATCGGAGAGATCCGCGCGGACCTCGGACAATTCTAGTTCTATGCTGCACTTTGTTCTTCCAGACGGACCTCTCGAAGTCCCCTGCATCCCCCGAAGCCCCCATTTGCACCCCGAAGCCCCCATGTGCCCCCTGAAGCCCTGTTTTTTCCTTCCAGACGGAGCCCCGTGCCCAGCAAGAGGAGGAGTCGGAGGAGTCGGAGTCGGAGGAGGAGGAGGAGGAGGAAACTTAGGCACTATCATCTCGTGCGCAATTGCTACAGCAAGCTGGGTTGTTTCGTGTGTATGTGTGTGTGTGTGTGTGTGCTCGTGGCCAGCGCCACGCGCTCGCTCCAACTCGTCGGCCTGCGACTGGGAGCCCACCGGAGCGACCTCCCCCAGGCAGCCCGGCGATCAGCCACGACGACAGGCGCCGCAGCCCGAGCAGCTCTCCGCAGCCTGCTGACGCGCACCCATCTCCCAGCCCCGACCGCGGGCAGGCGCTGCAGGCGGAGCCGTCCGACGGAGGCGCCCCGCAAGCTGGCAGGGAAGGGCCCGTGCGGAGGACCCCGCGGGCCGATGAGCAGCGTCGTCCGGGTGCATCCAGGAGGTGGCGCGGAGGCGACGCCACGGAGCGGGCTCCGCCCCAGCGGCAGGAGCCTGCGCCTCGCTACCCGCTTCCCTCTCGGGACCACCGACCCCAGCCCGATGCCACGGATCAGCTCTACCACAGGCCGCGGCAGAGGGTGTCGTGGCAACCCACCTGGAACTGCAAGACCAACAAGAGAGAGGAGTGGCACGAGGTTGTCAACCGCTTCAGAAAGGAGTGCGGTCCCGTGCTGGCGATCGGCTGGAACGCCGTGTGCGACCGGAAACTGGGGCCGTACTCCTCCAAGGGCCCCTCCCGACACAGACCCGATTTCTGCGAGGGTTTTGCGTCTGACCTCAGCCAGGCCAACTACGATGTCCGTGCCCTGTGCAGGTACAAGGGCATCCACGCCGACAGGGACGCCGAGTGGGAGCGTGAGATGGAAAAGAGACGGCAAAGCGCTGAGGCCGCTAAAGGTAAAGGGAAGGACCCCCCGCCGCTGGGGCAAGGCAAGCGTCCTGCCGACACATCCTGGCCCAGCAACGACCCCACTCTCCAGCGGTGGTCCAGCGCGCGCAGCCACCCTTGGTAGCTCCCCCGACATGGCTGGCACTCTGCCCCGACCTGTTCTGAGTCATCCCGTCTGCGGGGCTGGCAGCGGCCTGTCTTGCCGCCAGCCCCCTTTCGCTCTGTGTTCCTGGCTGCCGTCTCTCCTGTCCGCAGCACTGCACCTATTCGGTGCCCCCCCCCCGCGTGCCTCCAGCTTCCGCTCGGGGCTTCGCTACTTCTCGCCGCCTGACCTGCCCGGGCCCAGGTCCCGCGGCTGCAGCTCTGGGCTGTGCTCCCCCTCAGCCCCTCCTCTTCCGCGGCGCCGCACCTATTCGGCGCCCCCCCCCCGCGTGCTCCCGGCTGCCGCTGGGGGCTACGTCGGTGCGCTCCGCTTCGCCTACCGTGGCCCAGGTCCGGCGGCTGCAGCCCCCTTCTGAGCCCCCCTCTCCGCCCTGCCCTCCTTCCTGGGGTCGGCCGCCTCGTGCCTCGGTGGGCTGGGCTTGCCGCCCGCCGTTGGCCCTGTGGCCTCCCTTGCCTGCCGGAGGGTGTCCTGCCTTGCCGCTGCAACCCCCGCCCTGGCTGGGGGTTTGCCGGCCTGCTGCAGGTTTTGTTCCAGCACCGCCTGTGGCACCCTCCGCCGCTTGCCGCGCTCCATGCCTGGCAGGCCCGGTTTTCAGGTCGGCCCCTCGCCCATGGTGTGTTGGTTGCCGCCGCGCAGCCGTGGCGCCTTGCATTGCCATGCCCCCTCCCCGCGCCTCGAAGGTCACCAGATCTCGGCGCCCGCTTGCTGGCCCTTCCCAGCTCCACGCTGCTCCGCACATGATGCCGTGGCTCCGCATCTTTGTCTTACATTCCTCGCCTTCACGTCGGCCGCTCTTGCCGCGCTCGTCGCAGCGCACTCCTGGCGGTCGGCGCTCCGCCCCTCTCTCTCTCCCATCGCGCCTCGTAGGTCGCCTGATCTCGGCGCTTCGCCTAGCCGCTAGGTTCGCCAGCACAGCCGGCTCCCCCATTGGTGTGGTCACTGCGTCATCATGTGACAGGAATTTCTCTTTGCAGCAGTTTGCTGCTTGTCCAACGTCAGCAGCCCTTTCTGGTATTCCTATCGGCCGATATCGATTGGCTGGTCTGGACGTTCCATACTTGCCCATTCGTGGTACCTGCTCCCCCACTCGGCTCTGCCTGGTCGCCGTCGGGCCGCCTTCCCCCCCAGCTGCTGCCCGGCGCCGCGGCTGGCTCCCCCCCTGGGCGTCCGCCCTGGCGCTGCCGGGAACTGCCTGAGCGGGCCCAGCTTCCTCTCTTCCCGTCGCGCCGGGGTCTCTTCCTCTGCTCCCGTGCACTGTGGCCCAACTTCCTCCTCCTCCTCCCTCCTCCTCCTCCTCCTCCTCCTCCTCTTCCTCCTCCTGCTCCTCTTCCTCTTCCTCTTTCTCTTCCTCTTCCTCTTCCTCCTCTTCTTATTATGCTTAGTTTCATTATTCGTCTTATCATTATTATTATTATTGTTAGTATTCTTATTATTTCAGTTTTCGTATTAGTATACTTATTGTTCATATTGATGTATTGTTACTTGTTATCCGTATTGTTTTTATTCTGGTTATTATTACGATTATTATTACCATTCTTATTATTAGTAGTTGTATGATTGTTATTATTGTTACCTTTTATCACGACTACTTATTATTTATTATCATTATTTTCATTGTTATTTTTTGTATTATTATTTGTAATAGTAGTCGTAGTAGTAGTAGTAGTAGTAGTAGTAGTAGTAGTAGTAGTAGTAGTAGAAGTAGTAGTAGTAGTAGTAGTAGTAGTCGTAGTAGTAGTAGTAGTAGTAGTAGTAGTAGTGGTAGTAGTAGTAGTAGTAGTAGTAGTAGTAGTAGTAGTAGTAGTAGTCGTAGTAGTCGTAGTAGTAGTAGTAGTAGTAGTAGTAGTAGTAGTAGTAGTAGTAGTAGTAGTAGTAGTAGTAGTAGTAGTAGTAGTAGTAATAGTAGTAGTAGTAGTACTCATGTTGTTCGTATCATTATTCTTCTTAATTGCAGTATGTGTTCTATTACAATTATCGTTTATATTGTTAGTACTTTGAGTATTATTCTTATTTTTATTATTCGTAGTGTTCTTCTTATGAGAATCATTAGTATTATTAGTATTAGTATTATTATTATGATTATTAGTATTATTAGTATTATTAGTTTTCTTAGTATATTTGTTATTATTCTTCTTCCTCCTCCTCCTCCTCCCTCCTCCCTCCTCCCTCCTCTCTCCTTCCTCCTCCCTCCTCCTCCCTCCTCACTCTCCCCCGCCTCCTCCTCCGCCTCCGCCTCCGCCTCCTCCTCCTCCTCCTCGTCCTCCTCCTCCTACTCGTCCTCCTCCTCCTCCTCTTCCTCCTCCTCCTCCTCCCCCTCCTCCTCCTCCTCCTCCTCCAGTGCACTTCCTAGAGAAACCAGAAGAGACTCCGAGAGTCATTCAAAAGGCGTATGGCTTTTCTGTTCGCCCTCTTTCTTCCTCCTCCCCCTCCTCCTCCTCCTGCTCCTCCTCTTCCTCCTTCTTCGTCGTCATCGGCATAATCTTCGTGGTCGTCGTCTTCGTCATCGTAGTCGTCGGGTTCGTCGTCATTTTCGTGGTCATCGCCGTCGTCGTCGTCGTCGCTCTCTTCCTCTCCCATCCCACCGCCTTCTCCTCCTCCTCCTCCTCTCCCGCCCCGTCCTCCTCCCACTCCTCCCACAAGGAAGAAGTAACAGGAAGCAAATAGGAATCAGGAGAAACAGAAGGAGACAGGCGAGGGCAGGAGAAGGCACGCACGACCACCGCTGTCAGCATGGTTCGCAAAAGTTGCTGTTTTGGGATAGGCTGGTGGGGAAACGCGAAGTGTCAATCATGTCCTCGCACGTAATGAACTCGGAGCGTAGTCGATCATTCGCAAACACTAACACTCAGACACCCTTTTGGGCGGTCGCGGCCTCGCGCGCAGCGACGAGGCGGAGAAGTAGGCCAGAGTGACCTAGCAACGCGCGTAGCCACGAACACACTTTTTGCGTCGGAGGCTGGGCAGAGGTTGCTGCTCCGGCGATCGGGCATCAGTAGGGCGCGCTAGATGCAAGGATGACGATGACGATGACGATGACGATGACGATGATGATGATGATGATGATGATGATGATGATGATGATGCTGATGATGATGATGCTGATGATGATGATGATGATGATGATGATGATGATGATGAGGAGGAGGAGGAGGAGGAGGAGGAGGAAAAGGGGGGCGGATAAGGAGTAGGAAAAGGAGGAGGAGGAGAAGGAGGGGGAGGAGGAGGATGAGGAAGAGGAGGATGAGGAGGAGGAAGAGGAACACATGACCATCAGAAGAGCCTCCTCGGATGTCTCTTGTTTTTTGTGTGAGGCCTCTTGGTGCGTCTGGGGGGCATCTTGGGTGCCTCGGAATCCTCTTGATGCTTCTCGGGGGCCTCTTGGGAGCCTCTCGGAGGCCTCTTGGGCGCCTCTTGGGGCTGCCTGGGCGCCTCTTGGGGTTCTCTTGGGAGCCTTGGGGACCCTCTTGGAACCATCTTGGAGGGCATCGATCAAGAAAGAGGTGTTCCCCAATTACCGTTGCCCCATCCCAGCATGGTCTCTTGGGGCGCTCCTGGAGCGCTCTGGGGCGCTCGTGGGGCCGTCTTGGGGCTCTCTTGGGCCTCTCTTGGGGCCCTCTTGGGCCATCTTGGAGCCATCTTGAGGCCTTTGAAAGCTGTCGAAAGTGAACGGGCTACGATGCAAAAATTATGGATTTTCAGGTTCTTCAAGGATTTTGGCTTCTTGGAGGCCTCCTTCACGGTCTCGGAAGCCTCTTGGAGCTGTCTTGGAGAGGTCTTGGAGCCTCTTGGAGCATCTGGGGAGCCATCTTGAGGCATCTTAGGCTATCTTGAGCCATCTTGGAGCTCATCTTGGGCTCTCCGAGGCGCTCTTGGAGCCTTGCGGGGCCATCTTGAACGCTCCAACTACCAGCAACCCCCCCCGTCCAGGTCCAGGGGACGGGGTAGGGAGAGGGGTAAACCCCTCCCCGAAGGGGAAGGAGGGAGTTGGAAGAAGAGCCTCCCTAGAACACCTACGCCCAGAGGGCTGGTGGGATTCCTTCTTCTTCCAGGCGAAGCCCCTCGAAGCTCCGCCCCCTATGGAAGCGGCCCGAGGGCGACGGGCGGCGGCTCTCCGCCGTGTACTACGTCAACGGCGCCTGGGCCGCCGCCGACGGGGCCCTGCTGCGCGGGTGGCCAGGCGGCCGCGAGCCTCCGCGAGAGGCGCCCGGCCACTGCCGCGGTGGCTGCCTCGCGGCTCTGGAGGAGGAGGAGGAGGAGGAGGAGGAGGTGGCCTCGATCTCGGTCCTGCCCGATCCGACGCGATCCGATCCCTCGGCGGCGAGCGAGGGGGGGGGACTTGAGAGGGAGAGGACCTCTTCAGGAGGCGGCGGGACTTCTCGGGAGCCCTGGGGAGCCCTCTGGGAACTTCTCTCTTGTGTCTCCCGGGAGGGCTTGGAAAGCTCTTCAGAAGGCCGGAGGCCTTCCGAGCCTTCCGAGAAGGCCCGCCCCTTCTCACTTCACCCCCTGGGCTCGCCGCCGACTCTCGATCCAGGGGGGCTGCCTCGCCGCCGCGGGGGCCGCCCCGCTGCGGAGGGGGGGCCGGGGGGGCGGGGGGGGGCGGCGGGGCGCGCCCCGCAGGTGCTGCCCGAGGCCGACGTCCTGGTGGTCTTCCGGGCGGACACCGTGGAGCACGAGGTGACGAGGAACAGGATTCGGGGCCAGGAATATGTCCTCTACACTATATTTTGTTTGTCCACCACTTACTGGCACACGGCGGTCCAAGCACGGTGTACATTTTTCCCACCCATCCTGTGGTGTTGGGTCCTCGTTTTGAAGAGACGGTCCCAGCGTTCCTTCCTTCCTTCCTCCTTCCTTCCTTCCTTCCTCCTCCCTCCTCCTCCTCCTCCCTTCTCCTCCTCCTCCTCCTCCTCCTCCTCCTCCCGCTCCTCATTTCGGGGCCCCATAGGCAGCTCCGCCGAAGGCTCCAGTGGGACCGCCCGCATGCGTCATCCACCACCCAGCACAGAATTTCATGGCCCCATAGAGAGCTCCACCGAAGGCTCCATTGGGACCGCCCGCATGCGTCATCCACCACCCAGCACAGCGTTTCGTGGCCCCATGAAGGGGGCTCCTCCGAAGGTCCCATTGGGACCGCGCGCATGCGTCATCCACCACCCAGTACAGCCTTTCGTGGCTCCATAGGGGAGCTCCACCGAAGGCCCCAGTGGGACCGCCCGCATGCGTCATCCACCACCCAGTACAGCGTTTCGTGGCCCCATTGAAGGCTCCACCGAATCTCCCATTGGGACCGCCCGCATGCGTCATCCACCACCCAGTACAGCGTTTCGCGACCCCATAGAGGGGGCTCTACCGAAGGCCCCGGTGGGACCGCCTGCATGCGTCATCCACCACCCAGTACAGCGTCTTGTGACCCCATAGGGAGCTCCACAGAAGGCCCCAGTGTGACCGCCCGCATGCGTCATCCACCACCCAGTACAGCGTTTCGTGACCCCATAGGGAAATCCACCGAAGGCCCCAGTGGGACCGCCTGCACGCGTCATTCACCACCCAGTACAGCGTTTCGTGGCCCCATAGGGAGCTCCACCGAAGGCCTCAGTGGGACCGCCCACATGCGTCATCCACCACCCAGCACAGCGTTTCGTGGCCCCATAGGGAGTTCCACCGAAGGCTCCAGTGGGACCGCCCGCATGCGTCACCCACCACCAGCGTTTCGTGGTTCCTTAGAGGGCTCCTCCGAAGGTCCCATTGGGACCGCCCGCATGCGTCATCCACCACCCAGTACAGCGTTTCGTGTCCCCAGAGGGAGCTCCACCTAAGGTCTCCGTGGCGGAACTCGCATGGCGGCCCAGTGGCGCGGAGTTCACATGGCGGCGACTTTCGATATCCGGAGGTATTCGACGTATTGATGCCGCTTTCGGGCCGCGCATCCCGGGCGGGAGCCAGCCTGCTCGGGCGACCAGCGCGCGTCGCGGGGACTCCATTCGGCGCCGCGCCCGCAGCCTTGGACGTGGGCGTGCACGGGCAAAGAAGGAGAACAAGAACGGGAAGGAAGCGGGCGCTATCCTCGTGAGAGGCGCGCCGACATGGGCGTCGACGTTTATGCACGTAGACTCACGCGCGCGCAGACTCATCCACAATCAGACTCACTCGCCCTCAGTTTCTCGCACACAGACCACTCGTCTTCGCTCGCGTTGTGTGCCCCGCCACGCATGTCGGCACGCCTCTCGCGCGGTTCGTGGCCCCATAGGGAGCGCTGGCGAAAATGATATTCAGAATTGCGGTATTCACAGCTGCGTATGGTTGGGTCTTTCGCCGGGCTAATTTTTTCAACGTCTGTCGCCTAGAGAGCCGGCCTCGCAAATAAATCAGAAGATTGAACATTATTGCTGATCAATGGGACTTTCATGGTGTTCCTCGTAAAAAGACTTGTTAGATGTCAGACGTAGTTAGCCCTTCTCAATCATGGAATCGTTAGCAGTTGCACATCCAGTCGTTATCTGCCGTTCGCACTTATGTTGGCAGCAATCTTTTTGAGGGTATTGTGAATAATTCTTAGAATGGTTATATACGTAACGGTTGTTGTAATTTGGTTGGTAGTTGGTAACACTTGTCAATAACTGTTACTTGTTGTTGATCGTTGTTGATACTTGTTCACGCTATACGTTGTCCCGTGGTGTTTCTGCGAAGCCCTATTGGACAGGGCCCATATGTCTTAGTATTTATTTGCGCGGCTGCCAAAAAGGCTGACGGGGGTGGGTGGCGGTTTGTAGCAAATCATGGGGTTTCGCGTGCCCCTGCAGCTCCGTCTTCAGAGTGCATTAGCGTCGGATTGCGCCGGTTGGTCGATGAGGAAGCGCCGATTTTGCTTCGACTTGCGTCGATGTGCGTCGATTTTAGCTTCGATTTGGCGTCGGTGCTGTCGGGGGTGGTGTGGGGGCGCGGGGGCACGAAGAGGGCAGGGGAACAAACAACGACATAAACATACACATGTGGAGGTCCGCGCGGATTTCTCGGGTTGGCGCTGGAGCCCCCTGGCGGCGCCTCTGCGCGCCAGGGAGGGGTTTCCACTGCCGATCCGAGAAGTCCGCGCGGACTTCCGAAATTGTATCGAAGACGCCTACGGCGAATCACCGCCGCCCCCTGCCTTTTTGGAAGCGCCTATGTGGCCGAACGTTGAGGCCAGACCTGCCAAGCTATCGGACCACGTGTTCCCCGAATCGGTTTGGAAAGCCTTCGGGGAACACGTGGGCATCTTGAAGGTCATCTTGGCCGTCTTGGAGGCCTCTTGGGCAAGCTTTGGGCGATCTTTGGGGCTTTTTGGGCCGTCTCGGGCCAGCTTCGAGCCAACTTCGGCCATCTTGGTGGGTTCCTGGCACGTCTGAAGCCGTCGGAAGCCGTTTGGGGGGCCTCTATGGGCCGACTTGGGGCCCGCTTGGAATGCTCCAGGGCCGTCTTGGAGGCCATCTTGGGCGTCTGGGAGGCCATCTTGGGCGTGTTGGAGGCCTCTTGGGCCCTCTTGGGGCCCTCTAGGGGCCATCTTGGAGGCCACTTGGGCCATCATGGGGCTCTCTTGGGGGCCTCTTGGGCGATCTTGGGGGCTTCTTGGGCCGTCTTGAGCCGTCGGAGAGCCGAAAAGGCGCAAATGCCAAAATCCTTCAAAAACCAAGGGAAAATCAATGATTTTGGCCTCTTCGGACTCTCCTGGAGGACCTCTTGGAGGCCTCTTGGGCCGTCTGGGAGGCCGTCGGAAGCCGTTTGGGGGGCCTCTATGGGCCGACTTGGGGCCCGCTTGGAATGCTCCAGGGCCGTCTTGGAGGCCATCTTGGGCGTCTGGGAGGCCATCTTGGGCGTGTTGGAGGCCTCTTGGGCCCTCTTGGGGCCCTCTAGGGGCCATCTTGGAGGCCACTTGGGCCATCATGGGGCTCTCTTGGGGGCCTCTTGGGCGATCTTGGGGGCTTCTTGGGCCGTCTCGAGCCGTCGGAGAGCCGAAAAGGCGCAAATGCCAGAATCCTTCAAAAACCAAGGAAAAATCAATGATTTTGGCCTCTTCGGACTCTCCTGGAGGACCTCTTGGAGGCCTCTTGGGCCGTCTGGGAGGCCTCTGGGGGGACTCTTGGGCCGTCTTGGGCCGTCTTGGACTCTCTTGGGCCGTTTTGGAGGCCGTCTTGGACCATCTCTGGCGGACTTGGAGGCCATCTTGGGCCATCTTCGCGATTTTTTGAGGATGTCCCGAGCGAAACGGCCGTTTTTTGGAGGATTTTTTTCCGGATTGAGGCCCTTTCGGCTTCCTCCCGGGACCCCGGCGGGACGTGCCGGAGCCCACTGGGGGAGTTCTTTTGGAAAAAAAACCAAAACCAAAACCTGAATCATCCAGCACGCCGTGCACCCCTGCAAGCAGGGGGCGGCGGACTTAACGGCCTTCGGCCCATCCCGTCACCGTGCTTGGGTTGTGGGTCACAGACCTTAAGGATGTTAGTTGCGATCTCATGGTTGGGCTCTCGGTAGCCTTCTGGTTAGCCCATTAGCGGAGCGCGCTCCGCTAATTGGAGCGAAGCAATGGCAATGCCCTTGGTTTTGGGGCCAATTAGCGGAGTGCCGCTCCAGTCGTGGGAGCGAGGCAATCCCGAACCCTGGTTCGAGGCCAATGATTGGAGCGGCGCTCCGCTAATTCGAGCTAAGCAAGCTCCGGACGCTTGGTTTGAGGCCAATTCGCGGAGCGGCGCCTTGCTGATTGGGACCAGGCAATTTTTGGCAGCTGGATGCTGGGCTCCTCAAAGACCCTTCAGGACTGAGGATTGAGGCTTAGGGTGAAAGGGCAAAGGACCTGATGACACGCCCACTCCGTGCCCAGAGGCACGGTGGCGGATGCTTATGTCCTTACTTGTTCCCCAAGAGGGGGAAGCGGGAGCGTCTGGGGTCTCTGCGCTCTGGGGTCTCTGTTGTGCCCGTCGCCTTGCTGTCTGCGTCTGTCCTTAGGGTAGGCGGCCATGTCATACGTCTTTAGCGAGCGAGCGAGCGAGGAGGCGTGAGGAGGACTGAGACGAATAATGAGGTGGAGGGGGGGTGGGGAGACGAAGATGATGGGGATGAGGAGTGGGCGGAGAAGGAGGAAGAGGAGGGAGGGCGAGATGGAGGAGTGAAGAGAACGAGGAAGAGTACGAAGAGAGGGATGGAGCAGGATGAGTGGGGGGGGATGAAGAGGTGGAATGGGTCGTGAGCGAGGAGGAGGAAAAGGACGAGGAGAAGGAAGGGGCGGAGTGTTGGGAGGAGAAGAACCACGAGGAGCGGGAGTGAGAGTCAAACCGGCCAGCTCGAACGAGTCAGCGGGCCTGGCCCACTCCCCTCCTCCCTCCCAAACACATGAGAGTCAATGCCAACGTGACTGGAAGTTGGGGCCCGTGCGTGCTTCCACCTCGCCCCAGAGACTGGAAGGCGCTCGCGTGCGCGCGGCCTCGCCTCAAACGATCTAGCGGGGGACAAGCATGGCCGACTAAATCCTTGGGCGTCGCTTATGTAGGTGAGATCCCCGCTTCTGGGTCGGCAGCATCTTAATGGGGGACATTTTGTCCCTGGCACGTGCACTTGCTGCGTCGGCCTATGCGCCGTCGTTGCCAATTATCTCGCCCTGTGCCCCAGCCGAGACCGTCCCGCTTCCTGGATCTGTCCTTGTGAGCCGCCGATCAAAACAAATATGTAGGTGA